CTCACCATGTGGAAATCATTTTTGACAAAGGTATCACTACACATGAGTAGGAAAAAGGCAGTCTTTTTCATGAATGGCATCTCGTCAATTGAAAACCATATTTTGAAAAAAAGAATATCGATTTCTACCTTACTTCATAGATAAAAATCAATACCAAATGGGTTTTTAAACTGAATGTAAGAAGTTTTAGAATTTTCAGCCATGGAATGCTATTCAGCAATGAAAAGGAGTGGAATGCTAGAAACAGGCTGAAGCCCAACAACACAGATGAGTCTCCCAAACATCACGGTGATCAAAAGGAGCGAGAAATCAGAGTAATGTGCTGTAATATCGGGCTTCCATTCACACTAAGTTCAAAAGCAGGCAAAAATAACCTCTGCTGTTCTAAGCATCGCAGTTAAATAGCGGAGAGGAGGGCAGTTGTTGCTGGAGGCTGCCCACGTGGGTTTCTGAAGTTTTAGCGGGGCCCTGTTTCTTTTTTTTTAGAGACAGAGTCTCACTTTGTTGCCCTCAGTAGAGTGCTATGGCGTCACAGCTTACAGCAACCTCCAGATCTTCGGCTTAGGTGATTCTCTTGTTCAGCCTCCCGAGTAGCTGGGACTACAGGTGCCCGGCAGAATGCCCGGCTATTTTTTTTCTTTGGTTGCAGTTTGGGTGGGGCCAGGTTTGAACCATCCATCCTCAGTATATGGGGCCGGTGCCCTACTCACTGAGCCACAGGTGCCGGCCAGGGCTCTGTTTCTTAATTGGACTGGTGTTGCTAGAGCTGTTCACCATTCATCAGGCTGCTCACTTGTGATTTGTATGCTTTTCTTTACAGGTCTTACAAAAGAAGCTTTTAAAGCAACCCCTGTATTGACACAGAAAAAGTTCTAGCTGATTTAATGGAGGGGGATGAAGCTTCTCTCAGAATTTTCAGATAGACAAAGATGTTTAGGTCTTTAGGTATAGGATAGGAGATGATTAGTGGGAGGGCCAAGTAGTATATGTTGTAAATTTGAAAGTGTGCACCCCTGCCACTCAGCAGCTCTACTTCTAGACACATGCTCTAGAGAAACTCCAGCACATTTGCACAAGGAGACATGGACAACAATATTCACTTCAGTGTATAATAGCAAAAAGAGAGAGAGAGAGAGAACATTAAAACAATCTAGACCAGGCTTCGTGGCTCACACCTGTAACTCTCTGGGAGGCCAAGGCAGGTGGATTGCCTGAGCTCAGGAGATTGAGACTAGCCTGAGCTAGAGTGAGACCCCTGTCTCTGCTAAAAACAGAAAAACTAGCCAGGCATGCTTCCGTACACCTATAGTTCCAGCTACTCAGGAGGTTAAGGCAAAAGGATTCATTGCTCAAGTCCAAGAGTTTGAGGTTGCTGTGAGCTATGACACTCGTGGCACTCTACCCAGGGTGACAGAGTGAGACTCTGTCGCAAAAAATAAAAAAGTCTGAATGCTCATCAACAGGGGAATGGATAAATAAAATGTTTTTATGTAATGAAATATTAAACAATTAAAAGGAAAATATACACATACATAATCACAGCTCTAAACACACAACAGTGAATCATAAAACAAGTTGCATACTGGGTATAACATAACGCACAGATGGATTTTAATTTTATTTATATATATTATTTTTATTGATATATAATAATCATACATATTTATGGGTATATGTGATGCTTTGATACATGCATTCAATGTGTGATGATCAAATTAGGATAACTAGGCTATCCAGCACCTCAAACATTATCATTTCTTTGTGTTGGGAACATTTCAAATTTTCTCCTCTAGCTATTTTGAAACTTACAATAAATTGTTGTTAACTACAGGCAGTCACCCCACTGTGCTATCAAATAATAGAAATTATTCCTTATACCTGACTGTATTTTTGTACCTGTCAACCAACCTCTCCTGTCACCCCTACCCCACTCTTTGCAGCCTCTACTAAACATCATCCTGCTCTCTTCCTCTGTGAGAACACTTTTTAGCTCCTGCATATGAGGGGGAACATGCTGTATTTTTCTTTCAGTGCCTGGCTTGTTTCATTTAACATAATGACCTCCAGTTCCATCCATGTCACTACAAATGACAGAAGTCCTTTTTTTCTTTTTCAGGTGAATACACTCCATTGTATGATCTTCCATATTGTCTTATCCATTTACCTGTTAATGGACGCTTAGGTTGATTCCATACCCTTGCTGTAGTGAATGTTGCAATGAACCTGGGGACGCAGATAGTACTGATTTCCTTTCTTTGGATAAATACCCAATAGCAGGATTGCTGGATCATATTGTAGTTCTGTTTTCAGTTTTGTGAGAAACCTCATGCTATTTCCATAGTGGCTGTGCTAACTGACATCCCCACCGATGGCACAGACTATAATTTTAAATGCCTTGGCACACATATATTCTACTGTACTATAAAATGGCTGGAGGGTGCACTAACGTTGTTATAGCAGTATGCTCTGGGGAGCAAAGGGAGGGGCTTGGGTTGAGGATGGGGGCAAAGGAGACTTCATCTTATTGTCCAATTTCTTTCATTTAAAATAAAAATGGCAAGTGCATCAAAATGTTAACATCAGCTCATTGAAGGCAATGGCTCACAGGGTGTGAGTTGTACTATTCTTTGTAATTTTCCCTTTGTTCAATTCTCCAAATGGAAAACAATAAAATTGAAATAGTAGTATCTTTCATTATTTAGTCTTAGGCTTACTTACTGTTTGGGTATTTTATGTTCCTGTTTGTTTTAAGAACAAAATGTATATAAACATAAGTATAACTGTGATGAATTTCCTTTTTGTTTTTTGTTTATGTTCACAAAACATGCTTGTTTTATTTAACATTCTTTGGCATGAAAACGTGACCTTCATACAAACTGGTGAGGGTTCACAGCTTTACCACAGTCTGTATACTAAGAACCCACTTCCTGCAATAGACGTCCTCACGCACCTCAATCACTAGAAGCATCCATTTGTATTGGAGCCAAAATATTATCCACAAGCAAAGAGGGAAGCAAGAAGTGAAAAAGATTCTCCTCTCTGCTGCTAGAGATTTGTTGTTGATGCTGTTCAGACCGAAGCTCAGAAAGCACCAATGTTTATTGGCTCAGTCTCCAGTATGTCTCTACAACAGTGGTTCTCAACCTTCCTAATGCCTCCATGCTATTATTAACTGTATTAACCCTTTAATACAGTTCCTATGCGTCATGACCCACAGGTTGAGAACTGCTACTCTACAGGGTCATTTCCAAAAGGCTGTCAAGATAATGGAGCTTCCTGCCTTTTCCACTCCTGACAGTGCTTCCTTCATCAAAGCCTGTATTAAAACCCCAGAAGTACAGAATTCCTGCTTGGGCAAGGAGGAGGGTACCCTCAGTCTTTCAAAAAGGAAAGCAGATAGATGGTTTAACCACCATGATGGCATCTGCACTTTTATAGACGTATCACACATGGTGATGATTGGGCTGGTAGTTAAGCAACCTCAGTGCTTCCTAGACGATTGCCCTGACCATATTTGAAAAGTTAACAGATACATGTGGGCCTAAAATAGATTAAATATTATTCGGCTAGATTCCGAGTCAAGGCTTTTAACTGTATGCACAGGTCAGAGTCCATACCTTACCCTTGAGGATCCACCAGTGTGTTTGACTAAAGTAGCGTTCTTGCTATGCCTATTCACCCTCCACACCAGCAGGCCAAGGAAGGAGCTATCCAAAAGGAGGAAGGAGCATCTCAACCCAGACCCTTTTGTCTGTCTAGTTTCTGAGCCAGCTTTCACCTAGAAGCATGCCAGCACTCTGGTCTGTTTGGGCCATGGACTCTGTAAGCCCAGTGGATGTCCATCAAGATCAATGATGACAGCTAAGTCTTTCTAAATCAAGGGTCAATTTTTTTTATACTTTTTTTTTTTTGAGACAGAGTCTGTCACCCTGGATAGAGTGCCGTAGTTTCATCACAGCTCACAGCAACCTCAAACTCTTAGGCGCAAGCAATCGTCTTGCCTCAGCCTTCCAAGTAGCTATGAGTACAGGCATATGCTACCACACCAGGCTAATTTTTCTCTTTTTAGTAGAGACAAGTTCTAACTCTTGCTCAAACTGGTCTTGAACTCATGAACTCAAGCAATCCACTCGCCTCAGCCTCCCAGAATGCTAGGATTACAGGCATGAGCCACCATGCCTGGCCAAACCAAGGATCAATTATGAGCAAGCTCTCTCTACCTCAGATCTGAAGCCATGCTCTCCAATCTCTTTTGTCAGAGCAGAAGTTTTGCTCTGTCTGGCCTCTACCTCTCGACTGGTTCCAAATTCCAGAGGGGAGTAGGTATTAGTAATTGCTCCCCTCAAAAACCTGATGATTAATATAAAACCTCAAAATGATAAGTTAATGCAATCCATGATGTCGACCAATAATTTGTATGTCAAATTTCTCCTTCTCCCCATAGTTATCCTGTCTGAATAGTTAACTGAACTTTGCTCACTTTTAGATTTCGTAAGTATGGTTAAAAAAATAAATACATGTACTTTTTATCATAGCATCCTTGAATTCTCATAGATAGGGATACACTCCATAAAATTTACATTTTATAAACTATCATACTAGCAACACAGGTGCTAGTATACACAGGTATACACAGAAAATGTATTTAATTTAAACATTTAACAGAAAAAAGGAAACACACAAAAAATGAATCCTCACTACTGTAAAGAATGCTGTTCTGCATATGGCCAGCTGTACGTTGGCAGAGCATAGTGATTTTAAGGATGAATTAGACTTCTGATCTCTTTGGGATTTCCTTTATATTTGCAGTGGTTTATGACTGACATATAACTATAGCTTTCTGCTCACATTTAGTAAAAGATTTATTTCTGTGGCAAGATACACATTTGCATTCCAGTGTTGAATAAAAGCTACCGTTCTGAAAGAAGGACATAAAATGCTGATTTATAACAACACGTTCCAATAACAGCCATCTAATTCTTCCAACTGTTTCTTCCCAGGTCTTGGGAACAGCATCACCCCAGCAAAGGATGATTCGTCTCTTCCAGGATATTCAGCCTTTAACACATCTGTCCATGCTGCAATTAGACATGGAAATTGGAAACTCCTCACGGGCTACCCAGGTAGAATGCTCAGCTTACTCAGCATACTTTCCCTCCCACAGCAGACAAGGCAGGGCCGTGTCCTGGGACCAGTATCTCCAGCCTGCTTGTACTCCCAGGGGTCTACTCCCTTGCCCATTCCTCTGGAAAGGGAAGACACTATTGCTCTTGTTCTAACTTCTCACCTCTCTTGCCTCTGTACTTGGCTCCTCCAGGATCCTAAGCCCTCCCGCTTGCCTCACTTTGCTCAGAAACCTGAAACATTAACTTGTCTTTCAAATCTTTCATTATCCCTCCTGGTATGTGTCGTAAGAAGACCACTATTTATTCAGGATTTTATTTTCCTACTTGTAAGATTCAGCCTGTTCCCAATTCTTCAGCTTTCACTGTTGTCCTGGCCTTAGGAAAATAGGCTTTCCTAAGAGAACATCAAGGAAAATTTTCACCAAAGTAATTGCCTTTTGCAAAAAAAAGTCTCTCTGGAACTGCTGAATGAGGAGATAGGAGAAATAGTTTCATCTACCAGTCCTAACCGTCTCCCCCCTTCAAAACAGTGACCAAAAAGATTGAGGATTAGCTATAGAGGAGGTGTAAGGAAAAAATGCTACTGTAATGCTTCAAGGAAAGTATGGATTTCAGTTATGCATGCCCACCAAGCATAGTGCATTCAGCAAGCAAAGAGAACCTCTGAGAACTACACCCTCAGCTGGTAAACACTCAGCACTGTGCACTTCCCTGCTGGGGAAAAAGGTTGCTTCCCCTAATCATATTCTCTAAAACTGACATCTTTTCAGTACTTTTAAAATATGTGGTGCGTGGCCAGGCACCGTGGCTCACACCTATAATCCTGCAAGGCCAGGGAGGGTGGGTTGCCTGAGCTCAGGAGTTCAAGACCAGCCTGAGCAAGAGTGAGACCCCATCTCTAAAAAATAGCTGAGTGTTGTGGCAGGCATCTGTAGTCCCAGCTATTCGAGAGGCTGAGGCAAGAGGATTGGTTGAGCCTGGGAGTTTGAGGTTGCTGTGAGCTATGATGCCACAGCACTCTACCAGGGGCAAGAAAGTGAGACTTTGCCTCAAAAAAAAAAAAAGATGTGGTGTGATGGGTAGGGCTATGAGGCAATTAAACGATTCTTATAATGGGGATGTTCTTGGCATTTGCAGTAATTCTTCATTGTTTGAGCCTGTCCCATGTATATTCCAAGACATTTTAGTATCCCTGGCCCATGCCAACTACCTGCTAGGCCTAACCCCAGCCCCCAGTCCCACTAACTGCTAGGTGTAACCCAGCCCCCAGTCCCACTAACTGCTAGGCGTAACCCAGCCCCTGGCCCCACTAACTGCTAGGCATAACCTCACTCCCCAAGCCTTTTGACAACTAAAACTCCCCCCTCACATGCACACACATGCACGTATACTCCGGATGTCCCTAGTTGTGAAGCAGTGAGACATGTCTAGTTAAAGCACCAGAAGTTGGAGTCCGAGACAAATCTAGAAAAAGTATCACGGGTCACATCCCCAACCCAGAGCAGCCATAACGTCAGACTCCTTCCTAGAAATTAGAACCTGGGTGTCATGCTTCTCCGTCAATACACTGTTTTGTTTCCTTGCTAGGCTGTGGTCACTGGTTCCCTCCACCATCTCAGTACAATGTTTCTGAGGTTGCTTCATCAGACCCACCCACCAAGACCCTCTGGCTGTTTGATATTGCTCAGGACCCAGAAGAAAGATATGACCTGTCCAGGGAATATCCCCACATCGTCCTGATGCTGCTCTCCCGCCTGCAGTTCTACCAGAAACACTCAGTGCCTGTGTACTTCCCTGCACAGGACCCCCGCTGTGATCCCAAAGCCACAGGGGCATGGGGCCCTTGGATGTAGGATCTTAGGGAGGTCAGAAAACCCTCCTGTTGCAAGTTGGACTCCAGGCCTGTACTCACATGACTCTCCTTTCACTCATTGTCCCAACCTGGGTTCTCTTGGCCCTTCTCTTCCTCCTAAACCCACACTGAGGTGTCTAAATTCAAACCCTAGTGCATTCATAAAGCTGATAAAATTTGGAACAATCCTGTTTTTGGCTGGGGTGTGTGTCTAGAGGCAGGGGTGGCTAGGTTCATCCCCTAAGCTATGAGACAGCTGGAAACTTGAAATAGGAAGTTCATCGAGTCCTGGAGGCTAGGGGAGCTGGCTTGTTTTGCCTCCCAAGTCAGACATTAGATTTCCCTGTGCCAATAGCTGGTTTTATTGGAATGACTCAAATTTCTTGTAACAAATGAAGGGATCAGACAGTGGTTAATGGTTCTGCTGGTCAAGGGTTCCCCTTGTCTGAGAGATCACGTTCAGGCATTCCACGTGAAAGACCTCCCTTGGTTCACCCCTAACTCATTCATCTCAGAGCATAAGGCCCATTCCATTGTTAAGGTCAGCGGGGAAATATGCTTAAGTCTTAGGTTTGGTTTTTACAATTAAAAAATGTGTATTTATCCTAGATTGTCATTCTCCAGTCATGACTCATTCTGTCTAGACTTCCTGCCACCCTCAGCTCCCCAGTGGCCTGTCTTTCCTTTGGCCCCCAAGGGTCCCACCTGGGGAGGCCACTGTGCCTCTCCACCCTGAGCACCCCTGATTTCTGGAACACTGCTGAGCCCTGCCTTCTTTTCTCCCTTGTGCTGAAGCTAGAACCCTCCTCTGCAGACGGTTGAGTCGCTCTGTGAATACGCTCACGGTGGACACCGTGACAGCTAGGTGGGGATGCAGCATCTGTCCAGTGAAGTTTTTCCTAAGTTGCATGGAGTTTATCATCATAATAGTGGCTTTCTTTTGTACTGTATTGAGAATTGCACTGCAGTCTCCTTGCAGTGAGAAGAAACCTAAGGAAAAGATACTGTCCTGAGATGATGGAAGCGGGCAGTTTGAGGAAGGAAATGGCCAACATCTGGAGTACTGGGCATTGGTAGAGCAAAGGAGGGCACATCCACATTCCTCATACTCCCTGCTCTACTGCTTTATTGAGGTGCTGGGGTCAGGGAAAGAGGATGCACAGTTTGACCTGCAGCCTTTCTCGGTCCCACTAACATCTGACTAGCACAGGTCAGTCCAGGTTAACTCCAGAGAGTGTCATACTCAGAGAAACATGTGCAAAAGCAATACTCTTTTCTTCATTAGCTCCACTGTTTTTTACTTTTTCTTTTTTTTTATTTTTCACTGCTTATTGCTGATGCCTAGAACAGTGTCTGGTACACATACAAGGCACTTGATTCAGCTCGGGCACCCGTAGCATAGTGGTTATGGCGCCAGCCACATTCACCAAGGCTGGCCAGTTCGAACCTGGCCTAGGCTGCCTGAACAATGATAATAACTGCAACAAAAAAAATAGCATTGTGGTGGGCACATTGTTCCAGTTACTTGGGAGGCTGAGGCAAGAGAATCACTTAAGCCCAAGAGTTAGAGGTTGCTATGAGCTATGACACCACAGCACTCTACCGAGGGCAACATAATGAGACTCTGTCTCAAAAAAAATAAAATAAAAAAGAAGACACTCAATTCATTTTTTTTAAATATGGAAAAATGAGTAAATGAGAAAGTCTCACATGAAAGATGCTAGTTCAGGGAGCTGAATACAGGAGTAGTATACACGTCCTCCATCTGTTGTTATTCTGTTCTCATGCTGCCTCTCCTGAGGTAGTAGCATAATCTGCATATCTGGGCAGTCATAAGACACTCTCCAGCAGAGCTGCCCTCTCTGGCAGGAGAAAAAGAACCGTGTCTACCAAAGTTACTCTCTTGTCAACAATATTTATTTCTATTCTTTATAGAATATTAGAAACTAAAACTATTGAAAAATATAATACAGGCCTTGTATAGCCATCCAGTAGCTATTGTATTGCAATTCAGTAGCAATATTTTCTGGTCACTACTAACCTATATCGTATTAGAATAAGACTACTAGGGGGAAATGGTGCTAGAACTAATGATGTCTGTTACCACCTTGGGCCCAATTCCTGGGTCGACAGACAGCTGGCCAGAATGCCATCACCTCTCACCCTGAAGCCTGTGGAAGAAAGATAGTAAGGACTAACTGAGCCCAGATGTTCCTTCTGCCTCTCTCTGTCCCGGGGCTGTGGGTAGCCATTACTATTGTAGGACTGGAGGCCATCACTACACGACACCTATTTGCTCTCCTTGTTACACTCCAAACACCTGTCCCCAATTCTAGTTCTTTGATTCCTACACATACGTACAGTGGGGGTGTTCTGCATCCCATGGACTTAAAAGAGTTTTAAAGGCTAATTTTTTTAAAACCCATTATTTGAGATTCCTTTTTCTCCATAATGGAAGGTACCTCCTTAGATTTTCTTACTCTGCACAAGAATGTGAAAAGATTCAGATGTTGTCATTAGAAATATTAATGTTATTTCTTTCTAAATTTGTTTACTATAAAGAAGGATTTATTTAATCTTGAACTGATTTTTTTTGTTGCTATATGTTTATTTGAAGGACAAAATAAAATTATGTTTAAAAAATGTACAGCTATGGGTATGGAATTTCCATCTGTGGAGATGAAAATGTTCTGGAACTAGATAGTGGTGATGGCTGCACACTGCCATGAATGCATTTAATGCTGCTGAATCCTGTACTTTAAAGTTATTAAATTGGCAAATGTTATGTCACATGGTTTTTAGTCACAATTTTTAAAATATGTCAACCGCACAATGTGAGGGTGTTCAGCATGCCCCTTGGATGAAGGGCTCGACTACGACTTAACTTTACCTTACATTTGACAACAATGTAACCTAAAAATTTGTACCCTCATATCATTTGAAATTTTTTTTAAAGTTTTAAAAAATAAATAAAATATGTCAACCAATTTTATGGTATATAAATTATTTCAATAAAGCTGTTAAAGAAATATGTATAGCAAAAGTATCAGAGCTTAAAAAAAAAAGTGTCAGTTATTGCTCTAAGATTATGAACTCAGCGGCTAGGGCACCAGCCACATACACTGGAGCTGGCAGGTTTGAGCCCAGCCCTGCCTAACAGCAACAACTACAACCAAAAAATAGCCAGGTGCTGTGGCAGGTGCCTGTAGTCCCAGCTACTTGGAAGGCTGAGGCAAGAGAATTGCTTATGCCGAAGAGTTTGAGGTTGCTGTGAGCTGTGATATCACAGCACTCCACAGAGGGTGACATAGTGAGACTCTGTCTCAAAAAAAAAAAATCATGAACTGTAAAATAAAGTATTGGAGGGAGGTCAAAGAAGGGTAGGAGTGAAAACAAAAAGATGGTAAGAGAATGTACTCTCCATCGCCCCAGACTCAGCAGCTTAAACAATAATAGTTATGTATTCACATGTTATATGAAGACTCATGAGATGGCAGACAAGCAGTTAGCCAGGGCTGTGGTTGTCTGAAGACTTGAGTCTGGAGGCTCCACTTCTGAGATGACTCACAAGGCTATTGGCCAGAGCCTTCAGCTCCTTGCCCTGTGGGCATCTCCATGGGCTGCTTAGATACACATGGCAGTTAACTTCCACAAAACAAGTCATGTGGAAAAAGAGGACAAGTGGGGAGCTGCAGGGCCTGTCATGAGCTCAACATTCAAATAGGTAAATAAGACTGTACTTCTCCAAGGATGTACACAGTCACTTCCACCTTTTTTGTATTCCTTAGAAACAAGTCACTACCTCTAGCCCATACTTAAGGGGAAGAGAATCCCACCTTTTGAAGGGGGTGTCATATTTGAGAACATATGTCACACCACAGCAGAGGAGACTGGGCACATTAGCACACGGGGGTATAGATCATCCAAGCAAGTTCACATGCATTGATCAAATGTTGCTATTTGAAGAAAGATGGTAGAAAAAGCATTCAACTTTGCTACTTTGTGGTACAAGTAACCATGGACAAATCACTTAATATTTTTCTGCACCTCAGGTTTTTCCCTGGTACAGTACTGGGAATTAGATCAACCCTAAAGTCTCTTATGTAGCTCATGGCCAGAACTACACATGGCACTTGAATGTTCTGTAAATGCTGGTTGATTTACTCTCAAATGACTGAGCTCCAATACAAGGATGTGAAATAACACCATGCTAAAAAAAACAGCCTGATAGCCGGGCCTTGTGGCGGGCACCTGTAGTCCCAGCTACTTGGGAGGCTGAGGCAAGAGAATTGCCGAAGTCCAGGAATTGGAGGTTACTATGAGCTGTAATGCCACGGCACTCTACCCAGGGGGACAGCTTGAGGCTCTGTCTCAAAAAAAAAAAAAAAAAACCACCCAATACAATGCCTGGCATATGATAAGCAGCCCCCAAATTAGTGATTTTTATTATACTTTTAGAAAATGGATATTTCTTCAAGATTGAGCATAATCTCAGGCTGGTTTTTTTTTTTAGAGACAGAGTCTCACTTTATTGCCCTTGTAGAGAGTGCCATGGCATCACAGCTCACAGCAACCTCCAACTCCTGGGCTCAAGCGAGTCTCCTGCCTCAGCCTCCCAAGTAGCTGGGACCACAGGCGCCCGCCACAACGCCCGGCTATTTTTTGGTTGCAGCCGTCATTGTTGTTTGGCGGGTCTGGGCTGGGGATTCAAACCCGCCACCCTTAGGTGTACGTGGCTGGCGCCTTAGCCGGTTGAGCTATAGGCGCCGAGCCGTATTGGGTGTTTTAAAAGAACCATCTTCTTTAATATAACTTTAAAATAACCAGAGGTAATGTTTATAAAATTTATTCACTCTTAATTATAAAAAGGTTTACTTGCTTTTCACCTCTGCCGTTTTTTCAAAAATCAATCTTTGTCTAAGCATAAAATTGTAGTTATGCTCAAACAACTTGGAGGTTAAGGGCGCCAACCTCCCACCCCATGCATTTAAAAATATACATTCAAGTTTTGATTCCTCAAAAACTTTACTAATAACCTGCTGCTGATCAGAAGCCTTACTGATACACATAACATAGTCAA